ACTCGCGAACCTTATCTGATATGTTGCTTGGTGAGCATAAATACACTTTCCGCGCTACTATCTCGTAATATTCACTGAATTGTTTGAGTGCATTTTCAAGCGACTCCTCTGCGATTTTCTCCAACGGGTTCGCCCAAATATGAATATCACTGAGTAAAATCAAAACAGTAAGTATGCACAATGATAATACTGATTAATGTGGAGAATAACATATGAAACGAGTGTGTATTCATTTATTTTCATGAAGGTTACTGACTTATTTGACATCTACAAGCGGAGATCAATGTTCTATCAAATAAATCTATCATAAATATTTTATTTTTCTAGATAGCAAATGATCAATATTTTAGATTAAAACAGCAGTTCAGAAAAAGATATTTGTGCTGACATCAGCACAATATTTTATTCAATTTGGAATTAATCTGAATCAACGGAATGACAGTCGATGTGGGATTATTTTACACGTCACTGTTTAATTCCATGGTTCGGTGATAATATTTTATTGAATGAAATACCTAATCAGTCTCAATCAAAGTAGTCTTCTCATTTCGGACAGATCAGGGCAACCAACAACTCACCTAGAAATAACGCAGAACCACAAAAGTGGACTGTGCGATGGATAGCCGAGCAAGCGAATGAAACCGGGTGAGCTTCTGTAATGATCAATGGCTTGCTTCTTAAATCAACTAGAAAATTAATTTGAAGAATTCAAAAATTTTAAACTATCATCTGGGAATTATTTCTACATCAAATTAATCAGCATAAAGCACGCAATAATCTCCAATTTTGAAAAATCTCATATCTCTTAATAGAGCTTGGTGAACGAGCGATTCAGTGAATACCTTTTCATGGCCTTAATCATATTGGATATTGGTAGTAATTGGGGAAAATTACAAGTTGAAAGCAGCGCTTCTAGTTGATCTCCATCAGTCGTGAATGCACGCAGTTTTGGCCTTCTTAAATTGCTTGCATGCATTATTAAAATATCCACAAGAAATTGCTATTTTCACTGACTATTATTACTATCATCATCGCGAATGGCGATTCTCATTGATATTACGAAAAGTAATGAAATTAATTGAGCAATATGAGAGAGTCGTGCCCAAAACCTGTATACTGCCCAATTCATAATCCATTTATGAAGACAACCGCAGATGATTTCGAACGCTACTATCGTTGGTTACGTGGACAAAAGGATCTTAAGGAAGGGGGCATGTGATTTGAGTGATATTGATGATAACAGAGAGAGGCTTTATTAACTCGTGATGAGTTACTGCAGTTGGATTTGCTGATTTGCTGATGACTAATCGTAAATTAAATTCCAAAATTAACATCTGTTTAAGCAATACCACTAAACGTCATTCATAAAAATATTGATGGAATATTTGAATATCAGTCAGAACTTCATCAAAACATGATAACTAATGGTCGGTCCAGGCGACGATATCTCAGAGGTAAAACACCCAACCGGTAGTCGGTTAGGGAAGCGCGGGAACGAATTCCCGCGATTAGGGAACCGGAGCAAAGTTTTGCTCGAAACGTAGTGATCTACGACGAATCCCTAAGTGATGTGATAGATCAATTCTACCCGAATATCAAGTTCAGTGATAAAAAATATCGGTAATGAGCAAATGGATACCTTAAGTCTTCGTATTGTCCGCGCATAACTGCTAACTGTCGTTGCAGATCCCTCTGCGCTTCCATTAGCTTAACCTGAGAGGTTCCACCAGATACTCAAATATGAGCAGAGTTTGGTGATCAAAATGATGCCAATGAAGATTTGGTGAATGAAATTCGCATGAAACGATTAAAGCAATGATCATGCACAATAATAGGGCAGTAACCTGAGTCTGTTGGATTTCGAGCAGCAGCTCTTTATTGTGCTTGTTGAACTCTCCGCTGATTTGCTCACGTATTTTTTGCATTTCGTCACGCACATTCTTCGTTACCATCTCAACGTTCTTCAACAAATGAATAATGTGTCTTGAGATGCATGATGCGTATGGCTTTCGTAAGAAACATTCATTGATAATAATATTATAATTATTAATGACGATCACTAAAAAACAACGATGCAGTTGATCGCTCGCCGCTAAAAATACTCATTCCGTTTCATTGCGCTACCTGTTTCGTGTGCTCGCAAGCGTTCGTCAACTCCTCCCGCAGCTCAGTGCTCTTCGTCGTTAGTATCTGAAAGTGTGGCCAACTGATAGCGCCGCTATGGCCACGAACCACGAAATATGCTTCAAAAAATCATATTTGAGAAGAAGTTCTGCTGAAATTTCGTTTGGATTCCGCACGTTAAACAGCCAACTAACTTTCATTTCATTAACGTACATGGCATAGCAATCATGAGATTAGAAGACAATAACAAACGTCCGAGCGAATATTTTCTACGAAAATGGTCCTAGCATGGAAAAAACATTACTTTAAGAATTTCCTCACGAATCCTATCCTTCATAATCAGTGCTCGTTGCAGATCACTTCTTAACAGCACGTTTTGCATTCGTAATTGGTCCCGTTCAGCACGCGAGCGTTGAAGTTCTGCTTCGAGCTTTTCTATCCTTCAAATAATCATTTCATCACGGGAATGCGATAGCAACAGTGGCACTGCTGATAATAGTGATATACTATCAGTAATCGTGAAAATTATGCCAAAATATTTTAGACTGGGAACGGGTACTTGTTACTTGCACATCGAGCGGTTGTTTTGTTGATCGCTGTGAGCGATCGGCGGAATATTTATTTTGTAGAGTTATGATTATTCATTGGTTTGGTATTTGGCTAGGTTTAATTACGCAAAGTATTTACGGCAACTAATTGAATACTCGGTTGTATTCACTTGGCCTGCTCGCCTAGCCAGCGGGATGGCGTCAATCAAGGCTAAAACAGTGCGAACGGAAACGGGAGCATTGTGGCCAGCAACGTTACAAACGTTTGATAGTCTGGCCAATCCAGGTAATCCAGGTAATTTTAGACTGGAGCGCCAACTGTGGCTTTGTAGAGTAGAGCTTAAGTGAACTTGATGCTTGCAGTGAAATCCCTGCATGCTCAAGAGGTAAACCTTAATGAGCACATAATTGTACGATGCTTCTGCTCTGCATAAAGTGATTTCACCACCAACATTCAACATTGCGCTAACGCAAAAATAATAATGAAACAGATTGCAAAATTACACAATAATAAAAATCAGCAATATTATTATACTATTGAGTAGCAGCTTTACCACGTTTTCCAAACTCTGATTAGAGTCGAATTAATTTTCAAAGAAAGAAAAAGCATGCAAAGAATCCAAAAAAAAAAATAAAACAAAGAACAAAAATATATTCCGAGATGCGTGAATTGACGGCGAAAACTCACCATTGTTCAGCAGCCATTTCGTTCTCGAAGCATGCTTTCAGTCAAAATAAGGAATTGATTTTCAACTGATTGCTGCTGCTGCTGCAAATAATACCAATAAAATCAAAACAGCTTACGCATCAGAACAGCTTAAAAGTACGGCCATCCAACTGATATAATCTACACTATGTCACAAGAACGGCAACAGCCACTCAAGCTCAACTCGTTTAAGAATTCAGGTGAGTGCCTGCCCGTGCCTGAATTTCCTCACTGGTTTCAGTTACATGGGAGTGATGGGACCGTGTCGTTTCCAGCCTCTCTAACCACTGAACCAGTCCCGTACGCCCGTATAGGCATATCGGATTGGCTGCTGTTCGCTCGAACAAGCACGAGAATATCGCCGGAATATAGCTCTCAACTAAGATCTGAATGAAAATGAAGCATCCACGCCGAAAGTACTACGAGCGAACGAACGGCTTATCAAGAATTTCTGCCGATAAACAAGCACAACGATCTGAATGGTGAAGAGAACTGCAGAAGCGTGTTCTATCCATCGCTCAAATGTTTCATTTTCGAACGTTTATCAATCCTTATCAATTGACTGCTGCAATATACTGCAGTGAATGAAACTTTTTTGACAGAATCCAAAACCTTATAGTAAACAGTTTATTTGATCACAAAACAAAACTTCAAAAATTCATACACTCAACCGAAAATTATTTATTTTTTGCAACGCTTCCATCAGAAGGCAACTAACTTCATCACTGATAAAAACACCGCATCAAAGCCATTTATCAATGCAATATGATTATATGCTAACACATCTCTCATCAAATTAGCAACCGAATTTACTCTGTTCGATTTCGAATTATGATTCCGTTCAGATGCAGATTTTGTGATTTGCGTGCGCATAACTATTAGAAAAAAAAGATATCAAAATGTTCACTTGAATTGATCAAAAATGAATTTTCATTCAAAGGTTTTACTGCGATAGGAAGGTGATAAGTGAAATTTGGTTGTGCACAATAAAATTTGAGTGTGCAAAAGCCTCATTAAAGTTTTATAAGGCCTCCATCTCCCAACCAATCACATCACTGATAATAATAGTTTTTTGCCAAACGAACGTTATCAACTATCGAACGACGCCTCTTTAATCGCTAAAAAAATACGATCGTTTTATTAGAGCCCATCCTACAACCACATCGAAAAGACTATTTATGGAATGTGTCAAATTCTACAAATGCTCCACAATGGGTCTTCGTTGTTTTCGCAGACACGCGTCGTCCGTTAGGCCTGAAAAGCGCTGAACTGAACGACGACCTGAACGCAGGATTAATAGGGATTTTTTTTTCGTAGGATTGAGATATATCTGTTGCAGTGTCAAATGATTTCATATTGTCAAGTACTGTCAAGTACGTTGTCAAGTACATTGTCAAGTACATTTTATTAAACATCAAGAAAATAAACGAAGTGATTAATTCAGTGATATTAGTGGTATTGGTGATAACAGAGAGGTATAAACTCGTAATGAGTTGCAGTTGGATTTGCTGATTAAATAAATTCAATCGGTGTTCTTCAATCTCAATACATTCTATTGTAGACGCTTTTTGTAAGTGGATAATGAATGCGTTTCTGGAAATGTGGCTTCGTGGCGGGTAATTCTGATCGGATTCGTTCATTCGACTGATTGATTCATTAATTGATTTTTCGGTGTGCTGACGAGATCGGGATTAAATCACGGCACGATACCGGCATTGAGAGGCAACTGTTCAAATAGGTGGAAGTGTGACGACATGTCATGTTCAACACGTTCTTTTGGAAGCATTAGTTTCAGCGTTTATTTTGTAAAAACATTGTTGAATATTATCGAAACACAAAGTATTCTTCATATCGTTCAAAAACAAACGAGAGAAGATCCTCCAAATGAGATATACAAAAGTCAAATTTCATCATCCGAATCGATAGTGCATGATATCCGTGTACATCTTGTACATATACAGCTGAGTACAGATTCAAAGGTTGATTTCACATATCACTTTGGTGTCCCTCACGAATCGTCTTTTTCGCGCTTCGTCGCCACAATTGGGTTCCCAATAAATCCGAAGGCAGCAGTTTATTCAACGAATCATTCAGCAAAACTCAACAAAATCAACACAAGAAAGCGCCAACAATACAGGATAAGTACAATGCATCTGCAGATTGAGCTCCTCCAGATCAAATAAATTTTCTTGCGATTACATGAAATTCAGGTGGTTTTTAGTCAGTTGAAACGGAAATACCGATAATTATGATTTTGCTTACGTGATCAATCAACATTCTTATGCTTCAATGCATTTGATTCATAGTAATTGGATTGCCGTGTTCATCCTCAAGACGAGTCCA